GTCCAATATAAACACTTTAATTTACTTCTGTTATGATTTATTATTTAAGAAACGACCTCTAAGAGGGTCATATATTGCTCATTAGCAATGGTGTAGCTGAAGGGCTCTTTATTCAAAGACTTTGCCTTTATCCAGTTAATAATCTAATGAATATGAGTACTTTGATTCTAATGTTTTATTTTCAGTTAATCAAAATACAGCTGGGTGGGTAGGATTGTGCATAGTTTATCTGCAATTATATTGCTCTCAATGGTGTTTCAATATAAATTAAAAATATATTCTCCATTATTTACCAAAGAACACTAACGCACTTCTGTGGAAAGTGTTTACTTAACAGTTACCAAAGGGGAACACCTTTAAAAGTATCCTTAAAAGTACTCTATAGTCTAGTTGAGTTTAGACATTTATGTATGTAAGCTGAAGCCTATAAGCAGCATCTTTAAAGCGTTAGTTAGCACGCCCATGAAAATCTAAGTTGACCCTTCCCAAACTGGAAATGAATGGTGCTATAAGAGCGTTAATAAACTGCACAAAGCTTGCTGAAAGCTTTAACAGAGCTATCTAAAAGCTTGTAGTACACACTATTACACAAGCTGAAGCCCGTGTAAAAAAGTTCAAGCTAAGAACTTCTTTTACTTGTTCTTCTCTTTTGCTCTGTTAATTATACCATTGAAGGTATTTTGCTATATCTGTTCAATAAAGGTAAAAAATACATGTTAACCACTTCATTCGGGCTCACGTAAATACACGTCACACGCTTGAAGTGGTTATACCAAGAACATGGCTGCTGCAGCTGTGCTTTTGGTACCATTTTAAACAGTTGCTCGTGTGTGTGTGTGTCCGCCGGCTTCCCCAGGCTCTGCTGTCCCCCGATCGGGCCAAGACAGCGGGTCTCCCCTGATGGATTGGAGGTAGATCAGCAGGCTTCTAGCTGCTGATCTCTCCTTCGATCACTGGACCCGGACATGATTACATAACTTCCGCTGTCACTCTGCATATTCTCCAGCTCCTAGAGCCAGGAGAAGAACCAGGTGAAGCAGATTGCTGCTTCATCAGCTTCTTTGGGGTCCCTAGGTGACATTAGGGATCTGAAAGACCTCCGATATCTCCATGAAGAGGACTTGCCACATCCTATTTGCTTTTACATCGGGGGCTTGTTAGCCCCCAATGTGATAGCAATAAAGTTGAGTGTAAAAAAATAAAAATAAAAATCAATTAACAATAATTGGGTATTATATTCTGTTTCTGTGCACTAAATTTCATTTTAGTGCATTTTATCCTAAAAATACTGGTTTGATAAACAACATTATTGTTTGAAGGTGTGGAGCTGTTTTCAAGCCAAAAATTCAGATTTTATCATGTGTGTGCAAATGCAAGAAATTGCTCCGGTCAGCAAGTGGTTAATCAGGTCAAAAATTCAGAGCTGTCCTGTGCACACCTCTTGTGTTATCTCAAGGAGCCTCCTAGTTCTTATCTTGGGGTTACAGAATAACTAGTTGCTATGTTGAAGAAATGAGATGGGGATTAATTAAGTAAGTAGGAAAAATAAAGTAACTGAGCAGGGCTGACACCAATCAGGACGCAACAATATTGTGTGCTGTCAGACCACAACAAGGCCAATGTACAATTCAAAGCAGAGGTCCCCAAACTACTGCCTGCTAGGATTTCACTTTTTCTGAAGCAGGGGTAGTTTTTACCCACGCTGACCACTGATGCAGGTGTATGGTTTACACCCACTGACAACTAACACTGGGGCATTTAATACTCTCATTTACCACCAACACAGGGTCATTTTTTACTCCCACTGACCACCATTATACTGGCCTAACCACTGATGTAGGGAAATAATTTTTACTCCCATGAACCACAGACTTAAGAGCATTGGTTTTTTTTCATTCCCATTGAAAACAAAAGCCAGGCCATTTTGTACTCTCACTGAGCACCAACAAAGGGGCATTTTTATTTCCACTATCCACAGCTATAGCAGGACTCCAGGCAAAATCTTCACTTAATCCAGAGAGAGTATAGCTTTCACTATACTTCTGTGACAGCAGACCTGTGGCTTTCATTTACTGGAACCACACTGTTGTTTGTCTGCCTGTTCCTCCTCTCCCTTTGTTAATTCACAGAATTATTTTTATTCTGTGAGCCATTCAAAGAACACAAAGCATCCTGTGAATGGGCAAGGGGAGAGAGGGGTAGGCTAACAACACCCGACTTCTGTGTAAGAGAGCAGCTGGCCAGATGTATAGCAAGAGCTTCACAATCTGACCTCAGTGAAAGTGTAAATAAATATAAGAAATAAAGTACAACAATATTTCAAGTACCATATACCTCTTTAGATTTCTCTTTTTACACTGCACATTTTTGGCGGGTTTTTTTTTTTTCATTTTGCCTGGAGTCCTGATTTAAATCAAACTGAAATGCCAAATGAAACCATTTCACAATTAAGATTTCCTTAAATTTCTAAACATCCAGTTGACTCAATTATGAAGACATCAGAAAAAATATCTTTGCACTATTTACTGCTTGGCCATTAAAAGCTTCACATACATCCTACTATGTTTTTTCACTTGCACACATAAGTAAGAACATAAACTGAAGGAACCAGTGCAGTGAAATGTTACTTCATTAAGAGAGTTGCACAATCTGTTCTTTCTTCATCTCCATAACATAAGACTTGGCACGTTTCTAGTGTTCCTCATGTTAATATCTAACAAAGACGTATACCAAAACAGACCTACAAAGCAGGAGTCTCTAGAGATACTGGAGATAAGGTGGCTAAAGGTAGGGGTTAGTTTTGTTCTCCAGTGAAAGTATTTCCTCTGAGTTCTGCCTCATTTCTTTTGCCTTCAACACCAACTTTCTTGGGTGTCTTGGAGGTCAGTATTTTAGAATTCAGTACCATAAAAACTGTTTAATGTTTATTTATGTCTTCAAGTGTGTAAATTTGGTCCCCTACAATTACCACACAGTAACCAGACCCTGAGTCAATAAATATAATGTTAAGGTACATGATACAAATTTGAAAGCTTTTTTGACATCCCATTTTGGTAATTAATAACATTATCAGCCTTAATGTCTGTGTCACCGTCATCATCGTCTGTAACAAATTACAAGGTTGTTATCTTTTGCTAATGCAAAAAAAAAAAAAAAACCTTTAAGCACATTCTGAAAACATTTAATGCATGATTATACCCAGGACCAGGTCAACACAAACAGAAAAGTCGCCCCACCTTGGGTACTGCACAAAGGGGAGAGGTACAGACTGGGCTAGATTCCCTGTATAATCTGCAGTGCTCAGCTGTCAGTGTTCCTATTTAACCCACTATGCTTCCCCTTGTTTTTGCTGTTTATATGAAAAGTTTTTTCTTTTTAGCTCTTTTTGTCTATTCATTTTTGTAGCAATGGATTACAAAAAAATTCAAATATTACAAACAAATGCACTCTGGTATCTTTGTCTTGGGTGCTAGAGGAACTTGCAGTAGCACAGATTATACTTAAGGGATATAGCAAAAGGTTAGCCTTGGTAGAAGCATGTAAGCAAAGTGAATTTGTTTTGAATGAAAATCATGGAAGGGGTACGCAGTATTCATAGCAAAAAATCGATGACCCCCTCTGAATTCATAATATTCTGTAAAATGTTAATACAGTTAAAAACCTGCCAAAACATATTGCCAAAGAGCAGTAACTTAAAGGAAAACTAAAAGGAAAATATGCAGACTGCCATTAATCTCTCTCTAGGAAAATGCTAGTTGCCAGGCTACTACACTGATGCTTTGGATTTGATACTTTCTGATTTGATACTATACTGAAGAGGCTGACTCAAGAATTAATACAAGGAAATCAGAATTGTCCCCTACTTTCATTTGCTGCTGATCAACTATTTCTTTTTTTTTAAGAGTTAATTTTTTTTTTATTTACCATTTATAGCACACTATCCCGGTTTGTTTACATATTGAAAATTCACCAGCTTACATTAATTATTCACAGGTTCTTAACGAAACCTTAAAGGAGAACTATGACATGAGTGATTTCCACTCACCTCATAGTTCTAAGCCGTCCTGTGACAATGAGACTGTCACAGGTCGGCTCAGTAGATCGGGAGGTGAGAGAACACATACCGGGTTCCCTCACCTCTCGATCCTGTCACGGCTCTCTGCCGTGACAGGGGGAGGGGCTGGATTCCCCTCTCCCCGCTCCGATCTGCCAGCGCTGACTGGCGGAACGGACGGGGGAGGGGGCGGGTACAGCTGGCTCTGCCTCTAGATAGGCAGAGCCAGCTGTCACTCACGCAGCTGGGCGGATCCCGTCATCTAAGTCGGGATCCGCTCCAGGTGCGGCGTCTCAGTATACCGCGAGCTGTAGCTCGCGGTATACTGAGCTTAGGGTAACGGGAGGACGCTAGTTTGTGTCCTCCCGTTACCCCAAGGAGAACTATGGGGAAAAACACTGACCCCATAGTTCTCCTTTAAAGAATTTCACTTGGAAGAACATACTGCCGAATAGATTTTTTTCAGTTTAGGTACATAAAATATGTTAAAAAATCCAGTTGTTGGAGCTGTGATTCTATCAAACATAAGAACATACTTTGGTCCATATGTAATAAGCCAAAAATGTGCTAAACGTGAAAAGTAATCCAAAGAAAGAAAAATCATTGTTTAGTAGTCAAACACAATTAGCCCATCGACTGTTAAAGGATATAGAATAGTATTTCATTGTGCACACATAACATTCACATATACTGTTAGCATTTATGGCTAATCTACAAAAAAATAAATTGTGCAACCAGCTTTTCATCTGGCTGATGTTCTAAGATTATCTATTTGGATGTTTCATGCTATTTACATTCCAGTTATTAAAACAAGAGTCAAAGTATTAGGCAAAAAAAAAATACATTGGGAACAAAGGCCAAGTGCATGCAAAGTACATAATTTCCAAAAAAGATGTAGCAAGTGAAGCACTCCATAGGAAGGAAACCTGACATATGTAGGAAATATGTATACATTTTAGACATTTTAGCCATTTTCCTGGTCTACCATTCTACTACATAAGAACACTTACAGGTATATTCAAATTGTGCACAAAAATATATTCAAACATTATTTCAATAAAAATTAAGTCTGAGGAAGGTGATGTTGGATAACAAAAAAACACCTTCAACATTACAGAACTAGTTGAATGTGACTTACTGCTACTAGTAAAAAATAATAATATATACATATACACATAGTATATAGAGATCAGTGTGTGCTATACTCCTTGCTGTGTATATAGGAGATCAATATGCGCGATACTACCCACTATGTATATAGAGATCAGTGTGTGCTATACTTCCCACTGTGTATATAGAGATCACTGGGTGCTATACTTCCCACTGTGTATATAGAAGGCAAGTACCCTTTAAAAACACTAAACACAACATTTTGGTAACATAGCTGTGGATGCATTTTGGGGATATCCAATTTATGGTATGATAATACATTAGCTCAAACTGATTTTCCCATTGGCCATACTCTGTTTAAATATTATTTACAGAACAAACAAAACCACGAAAGTGAGAATTGGAAACACTTACTCAGCGCTCATGCTTGTCATAACCAATGATCTTGTAACCTGGAAAAAAAAAATTGTTATCAACAGGCCTTCAAAACTATGACTGATTTCCAGAACTGGAAATCACCTAATCTAGTTTCAGTATTGTAAAAATGCCAAAAAACTATTTTAAATAAGACTGGAAAAAATGTCTATTGAATGTGATCCACAAGAATCCGAATATGTTTTTACTTACTTATATACCCATTCAGCATCGTGATTAAAGAGACCCTGTCGGCAGACCATTTATGTCCACAGCAGTATTACAATAAGATATGTCCATTTAATGTATGTTAGTAATGTTATTTAACTGTAACAGCCTTCTTGTGAAGACATCCAAAAGTACTTGGACTGCTGCTGGGGGATGCCATCTTGGATGTAATGTCAGTAGAAACAGGAGACTCCTTTTTCCCAGCTGACACAGTGGGGCAAAAAAGTATTTAGTCAGCCACCAATTGTGCAAGTTCTCCCACTTAAAAAGATGAGAGAGGCCTGTAATTGGCATCATAGGTAGACCTCAACTATGAGAGACAAAATGAGAAAACAAATCCAGACAAATCACATTGGCTGATTTGGAACAAATTTATTTGCAAATTATGGTGGAAAATAAGTATTTGGTCACCTACAAACAAGCAAGAGTTCTGGCTCTCACAGACCTGTACAGGCCTCTCTCATCTTTTTAAGTGGAAGAACTTGCACAATTGGTGGCTGACTAAATACTTTTTTGCCCCACTGTATATAAAAGGTTATATAAAGAGGTGAAGGATGGATGGGTTGCCACCAAAGACAGTAATTAGACACTCCTAAGGAGTGCTATGGAACTGCAAATTCCTAGAAAAAAATTTGAGTTTGCTAGCAAGTTAATAGAAAAATATTTCTGGAAAGGGAAAAAAAACCCCTAAAATTACGCATTTAAAACACATGATTTGATTACCTGAAATTTTTTAAGTTAGTGATGGTGTCACTTTAAGGGTTATTCTATCGACGCGCATACAATTTGTCTTATGCTGAAGTCTATAGCACTAATACTGTATATGTTAATGTATCCACAACTACCCACATTCACCTCGTCAATTCTTGCATACTCTAATGCACACACAGAAAATAAAATAGCAAGCTGCTGGTGTAAGCGCATTAAAAGTGGTGACACAACTGCTTATCTGCTAAGGTGAAATTGCAGATAGCTTTCATAGGTGCTTTTTCAGTTTTGCAGACAGGTGAGAAATAGTTTTTTAATTACGGTAATGTGTTGCTGAAAGTTCATTTTCTTCTATTCAAATTTTACAAACTTTGGGGAGCTTATCATCAGCCACTCAAGAGTTTTTGTAGCTAATTTAAGTAGTGAAGACAGTAAAGCAAAAGCATATTGACCATATTAGATCTCTTAAGAGATATATGCTTATTTGAAGATCTCTTAAGAGATATATGCATAATTTAATTATGTGCAATGCATTGGCTGTTGGATTGTGAAACCTTATCAGACGTAGACATAGATTGATTTAGAATACTTGGCATTAGGGGTGTGACTGGTGAAGCTAATTAAAACACCCGCTCAGCATACCTCTCAGACCCTTTGATTGGTTGTGTTATTTCTGTAATATATATTTTCTATAAATATTTGCTTGCAATTTTTTTTTTCATTAGAATATTTTAAAACCATTAAACTGAATCTCTAAATGCTATAATCCAAAATTAAAGACTCTTTGGAAGGGCTACCATATTTTAATACTCTTAGGTTCCGGTCTGGGTATGACAGTGAGCGTCTCAAAATTTTGTTTAAGATGCTGTGAATGTTGTAGGTTTCCATTAAAACACGTGGTAATGGCTACCAATTGTGTGTGCAAAAGGTTAACTGCGTAGTTAACTGGCCCCAGTGACGATCCCTCTCAGTCAGCTGTTAGATTGTTGTTGCACTAGCTGGAAAATCTCTGTGCACGGCGAGGAGGACAGTGCAATTATAAAAGAGAGGTCTCATTGCAAGGGCCATACATAAATGTAGGGAAGGGATAGAGGTCATGGAGGGGATGTGAAGGGTGAGGTGGGAGGAGAAGTATGGGGTACGTGTGTAAGGAAAGAGGTCCTTCCAAAACAGACCCTGCTCTTTACACAGGGCAGGATTTGCACTCATTGGTCAGCTAGTGTACTGGGGTCTGCACTGGCCCAGGCAATCAGGAGGAAAATGGGTACAGAAGAACAATACGTTAACAAAACCAACAGTCTTGGTTATGTCAGTGAACCCCCACACAAAATTGTGGATGTCAGGATGCATAAGGGTAAAGCGGCCCAATAACTAGTATTGCCATAAAGTGTTTATCACTGTGATCCTATACAGCTCAATTGATGACAGGGGTTAGGTTTAAGCTAAATTGGAGGGTTAGGTTCAAACTTAGGGTTACAAATAGGTTACACTTTATCAAGTTACTATTATTTTGTCAATTGTCAGTTTAGGTTTGATCAGTTTATTACATATGCTATAAAATGTGTTTGTGCTGATAAGTGTGTTCTGACATTTTTGCCACTGAATATTCTTCAATATCTTAAAAAACAACTAAATTACAAATAAACAACCAAATTTCCGAATTTAAACAAATTGTTACTGTAATCATTTGTACAGTGCCATCATACTCAATAGTTTATTTATAACAAGGCATATGGGCAAAACAAGTGAATACCATGGAATATAATTAAAAGAAAAGTTATGAGAACCATACATGTAAGAGCTCACAACCTTATACGGAACTGTAATGGATCCAAAGGTGTATAAATCTAGGAGAACTGACCTTACATAACTAAGGCTATATAGATTTATCAATTCAGTATGAAAACAAAAGGAACGTGTGTCTTTTTTGTTGGTTAAATAAATGTTAAATATGTTTAGTGTAGTATTTGACATTCAGGTTTCTATATCAGCAATTTCCCAGACAGTTCCAGCTGGTAAATATTGGCAAGCCCAACTGTAACTAAAGCCTACTTGACTTAAAAATTCTGAAGCTTTTGGGCTCCTAAAGGAAAACACATTTAAAGATTTAAAAAAGAAACCAGTGAGAAAATCCTAAAAAGTATCATAGCATATATGAAGATCTTAGCTCTAGGGTGCAACACATTCAGTTAATATCTAAAACAAGTCAACCAGTCAGCTAAACACTCTATACTCATGTGGTTATAAAGTTTAGTAAATTACAAATAAATTATGGAAAATAGGAATGTTACACTTAAGGTAAAAAGTAATGTCTGGCAGAGATCCGAGATGTAAAACAGAGTCAGAGGCCAATCTATCATCAATTTAGAAATCTGTTCTCACAAAAGCATGATCTTGCCCTGTAGTATGTGACTTATGACTGCAGAGATTGAAAAATTATGTTGGCCATTGAATGTATCTTTGAAAAAAAGTTTTTTTGATCTCTTAGCTGAAGTTATCATTTACAAAAAGAATTACTCTGGAAAGAATTACTCTGGCTTTTCCTCATTTAGCTAAGGGTTGTTCAGTGTATGATCTTAACTTTCTGGTCAGATTAGAGTAGCACAAAGCAAAAACAATATCAGGTTACTCAATTATATGTGCAAATATCACAATGATTACATATTGTTTAATTCAATTGATTACATTTTATTTTTGGGTGAAAAACATTATAGACCTACCAAAGCTTTAATACTGAAATATTGATTGTATGATTTCACTATAAAGTAAAGTAAGCCTTCATTTCTGTTTCCCAGACATTTTTACAGCCATTGCAAGTTCAATAACCGAGCTTTATATAAACTTTAGCAGAGAGGTAATCACAATACTGGTGAAATAGTATTTGTATCATTATATCTTGCAAATTTCCATAGGTCAAAACCATTGCTGCTACTAGAAGGGCCCTTATTTTACCTAAGTATAATGTCTAGCCTGTCCATAGAATTGGGAAATATCTGTAAGGCTCCCACAGGCACGGATTTCAACATAATAATTTCTGAAGACATTCTGTAGAATTACAATATTTAAAATGCAATTGTTTTTCTACATAATACAACCTAAAACACATACCTTTCTATTTAAGAAAAAGAAAGCAGGGCAGGACACCAGTAGCTGTTTTCTTAAAGCTGAACTCTGGGCAGATAAACTTTAATTTAAATATATTCCTCAATAACCAAATCCACCTTGTTTGCATCAGATACCATGATAAACCAAAGTATTCTCTTCTAAAATCAGTGGTGACATCACTAGGGATGCACCGATACCACTTTTTTAAGGCCGAGTACCGATACTTTTTTTCAAGTACTCGCCGATACCAATTACCGATACTTTTTCATAAAGGGACATGTCACATTTTTTCTAAAGCAATATAAAATCATGATTTTAGGTCAGTTTCTTAATATTATGAAGAACATGAACACTCTGTTGTGTGGCACAGCTATATCCAATTCTGCATACCTGGCTTTATATTATAAGAACTTTATAATATAAAGCCAGGTATGCAGAATTGGATACAGCTGTTCCACACTATACAATAATACACTGTTCTGGAGTCTGGACATGTGATAATCTATTTTCCCCACTATGGGGATACAAGCCTTAGTTAGCAATGGCATGATAAATATTAATTTCATTATTCAATGTCTTTTTTTAATATTATAACATTTATATTATAAAAAAAAGACATTGAATAATGAAATTAATATTTATCATGCCATTGCTAACTAAGGCTTGTATCCCCATAGTGGGGAAAATAGATTATCACATGACTGACTGGTGAGGAAGCCTGTCAATCATCCAATCGGCCAATCAGCGGGAGAAGAGATCAGAATGGAGCAGATGACTAGGCTGTGACATCTGCTCTATTCTGACCTCTTCCCCGCTGATTGGCCGATTGGATGACAGGCTTCCTCACCAGTCACTCCTGACTGGTGTGGAAGCCTGTCAATCATCCAATCAGCGGGAGAAGAGGTCAGAATGGAGCAGATGACAGAGGAGGTCGCGGCCATCTTGCTTCATTGAAGACGCGATGGAGGTCCTGTGTGCGGCGGATTCGGGTCCCTGA